AAGGAGTCAAACCCGACAGATACTGTGAAGTTCAGAAAAGCTGACATGAGGACAGGATGTCAAGCCATGGTTAGATATGCCATTGATGTTGAAGGAAATTGGATAGTGAAGAAATTCATTGAAAGTCGTAACCACCCTCTTGCCGAAAGTGGTGATAAACATCTTCCGCGTTCCAGCAAAAAAATAAGTGAGTTAAATGCAGATTTGCTAAAATCAATGAAAAAATCAGAGATCAGAGCAACAGATGCATATAACTTTATGGCTACAGAGGTTGGGGGTGAAGAACCTTGAATACAAACAGAGATGCATACAAGTTTATTCAAAGAGAGAGGAGGGAAAGAATAGAACAAGGAGATGCTAATTCTCTAATTAAGTTGTTCATGGAGAGGCAAGCAAAGGATACCATGTTTGCCTGGGATTTTGAAACCAATGAGTGTGGAAGACTTAGAAGCTTTATTAGGAGCGATGGGTTATCCAGGCTTGATTATAATTTTTTTGGGTATGTAACAATATTTGATGCAAGCTTTAGAATAAATAAGTACAATTTATGTTACGCTCCTTTCGTGGGCGTGAACCGCCATTGGCAAAAGTCCTCTTTGGAGTGGGTTTTTTGTCTGATGAGACCATATATTCCTTCATTTGGTTATTCAAAGCATTTATCTGAATAATGAGTGACAAACATCCAACGACAATTTTCACAAATCAGGATCAAGCGATGATGCGGTCCGCTGAAGATAGTCTTCCATAAACACGACATAGATTATGTCAATGACATATATATAAGAAATTTCCCTTAAAAGTTCATTGTGTTGTTGGTATCAAAAGTGTGAGCGTTCTCTTCTACAAATGCATGAGCAAGTGTGATTCTGAAGAGGATTTCGAAGCAACATGGGCCACAATGATTGAGAAGAACCTACACAACAATATGTGGTTAAATTATATGTACAAGATCAGACATATATGTTCGACGACATTCAATAAAGAAATATTTAAAATGAGAATATTGTCGACACAAAGGAGTGAGTCAACCAATAATATTTATCACGTTGTTGCAAAGCCCACTAGTTCTCTCGTTGATTGTTTTGTTAGTCTCGAAAATATAATGAAATCATGGCGCCGAAATGAGAAGGACAAAGATTTCAAAAGTGATCAATTGATCATTACGCCCGTGGTTAAAGACAACCCAATCTTAAGGCAAGCTGTCATTTTTTATTCGACAAAACTCTACTCAAAGTTCCAGCAAGAGCTATTGGATGAGCTATGTGGACTTACAACTGAATGCTTTCCAGATAGTGACTCAAAATATTATGTATGGTATTTGGATACGCAAGGACAAACAAGTACTAGATCGTGAAACTTGACAAAGTCATTTCTGGGGTCACTTGCAGTTGTAAAAATTTGAAATGTTGGGGATATTATGTTCTCACTCTCTTTATGTGCTTAATGCGGCTCAAATAAAGTAAATTTCCAAAAAATATTTGTTAATGCAATGGTCTGCTCAGGCTAAAAGGAACATGTATAATAATTTTGTTACGGAGATATGAAGGAATCCTAAACCAGCACTGGTTCTGCAAATGGTATACTATTGCACTTACATGCCCACAAGTTTGTATACCAACTCATTAATAAAACACAGGAAATAAAAAAACCAAGCAGATTCTGTGGGAATCATTTAAACATCTGTTTGGAGATCTTAATGACGCACTAGCTAGAAAACCAACTCAAACAAAGAATAAAACCAAAAAGAGAAAAACACCAAATACTCAATTCAATTTGAATGACCCAACATTGATGAGGCCGAAAGGAGTTTCTACATCTAGGTTGAAAGGGTATTGGGAGAAAAATGAGGACTAAAAGGTAAATAATTCAATAAGCAACAATATTTTAATCTATGCCTTATTGATGTTCTCTAACCTAAACTACTACATGTAGGAAAAGAGTAAGAAACATCAACAAGCCAACATCCTGATATTCCTTGTGAGGTAAATTTAACTGAAATGCCAGATTTTCTCAATCAGTTAATTTAGTGGCATTAGCATTTGATTTTTATTCCACTTTAATTACTTCATTATTGCAAGAATATGATGCAACTCAACCAACACAAGGATATACAAGATTGTTGATGGATTCAATAAGTGATCCATATTTATAATATTATTTTGTTAATGTAATTCAGCAACAGTTCTGACATTTTCATATGATTCGTTAATTTTGATGATAGTTTAATGTAATCATTTTATGAAATGTTTCGGCGATTCATTTAATTCAATGACTTATTGGTATTTAACTGGTTAAATAAATGTTTCTATAAATGCTTTTGTGCTATGATTGTTAATTTAATGTTTCTTTTTGAATACCACCTATTTAACACCTAAACTCATTTCAATAACATCTCAATATACTACAATAACACATCAATAATATGAAAATGACACTTATAAAAAATATACCTCAATTAATTATATTAATTAACTTTAAAATTAAGAAACATATCTAGTATCTAACTACAACGTATATATTATTAATTAAATATATTATTTAAATAAGATCAATGAAATTAAAAACTAAATAACACATCTATAGCACCTCAATTTTTATAAAAATGAGGCTAAAATCGTTTCATAACACGTTACAGCCGCCCAGAAACAATTCAGGAAGGTTATATCGCCGCCCTATAACATAAGAGAATGATTCGTGCGTGTTATAACGCCGCTCCATATAACTACACTACACCACACTATAACACATAGGGAATATTCCCCACGTGTTATACTGTCGCCATATAACACCACTACCCTGCGGTATAACACATAGGGAATATTCCCCATGCATTATAACTCATGGGGAATATTTCCCATGTGTTATACCGCTGCCCTATAACACCACTACACGTATTATAACGCAGGCTTATGTTATAACACAACCTTTTTATACCGCAATATTGAGCTATAACACAGGCCTGTGTTTTATCGCAATATTAACTTGTTATTTATCAAAATTAATGTGTTATAGTTTAATTTAAACACATTATTTTTAAAATCGTTTTATATGACAATATTGACGCTTTATTTTCAAAATCGCTGCCCTATAACACCACTACACGCTGTATTATAACACAGGCTTATGTTATAACACAACCTTTTATACCGCAATATTGAGCTATAACACAGGCTTGTGTTTTATCGCAATATTAACTTGTTATTTATCAAAATTAATGTGTTATAGTTTAATTTAAACACATTATTTTTAAAATCGTTTTATATGACAATATTGACGCTTTATTTTCAAAATATAAGTGTTATGCCAAATTATTGACGTATTATTTACCAAAATTCAAGTGTTATAATGTATTATTGACACATTATTTATCAAAATTCAAGTGTTATATGCTATATTAACGCATTATTTATCAAAACTCATGTCATGTTATATGGCAATATAACCTGATATTTTCAAAATAAAAGCAATATATTATCAATATAATTAAAATAGTTAGTTCTTAACATAGTAAATCGTATATTAAAATATCTGATAATAAAAATTAATAGTTATAAAGTTGAAAACAATACAATACATTTTCAAAATACAAATTTGCATTCAAAAGAGACAATAAAGAACATCGATTCTATAATTTGAAATAGCGCAAATATTAATTTACTGCAGAATTGCCAAAATAGACAACTAAAAACACAAATTAGAACATGTACATAAGCATATTTTTTAATCAATTTTATTCTTGAATCATATACACAAGGCGTAGACAAATTCAGCTCCAATCAGTCTCTTGTGCTTTGCCAACACCAAAGTTTCCATGAAGTTGCATATGAACATACCACAATAAATACTATTGTTTTGCGTTGGTACACTCTTAGCAAGTGTAAGTCCCCATTTCTCAGGTTTGGCTCTAGGAAAAGCCTTTGCAGCATCCTTTGCAAAAAGTTTCACCTGCAAAGGTTATCAAATTGTTATTTCTGTGATATTGGGTGTTATTGCTGTGTAATATTTGTGTAATATACTTACAACTTAGCGGGCAACATCCTTATGCACACTGTTGGGCAAAGAGTCGTACAATTTCCATGTTCTCAATTTTAGCTCTCTCACCAACAAAGTCCAATGACCGTTATGAATTGTAGGTAATAATATAACTTGTGCTTCCTTTATACTTTCCTCCGTGATGTGTTTCACAAAAGCTGCACCATCCAATTTCCTATGCATTTGCAAAAGATGATAAATTGAATTTTGTCGACAATGAAAGTACGTGCCAAATATATATGGATAAATTAAACTATTGCAATTACCCAATATAGTGATGTTACAAAGATGCATGACCTGTATAATTCAGGTGACCTGACAATTCTTTCACGCAATATGTCATCAAAAACATCAACATGTTTTTTGTAAAACCACCCGTTTAACAATACATTCTCGAGGCCAGCTCGGTCAATTGCCCTCCCAAAACCTTTATTTGCAAAAAAATCATGTATGTTTAGTTAAGAAAGAATTGCAAAAAAATCATGTCTTCTTAGTTAAGAAAGAATGATTGTAACATTTAAATATTAAACTACTGTGTATGTAGCAAAACAAGTTTAAGAAAGAAAGATTGACAAAAGTTGCTTACACCCTTGTATGTAGCAATGCAATCATCGATTACATCCTGCATCTCACGTGGTACTAATGATCTACCAGGATAATTTATGTAAGATGGCGCAGTACGAGGCTACAAAATAAAAAAAATATAACTATAAACTCTAACTAAAAAATTGAAGATGAGTTAAAAGGTAAAAGGGTAATTTTTTTGTACTACTATCGCATGGATCTCAACATAGGAACTGGTGCTCTGGTTGGTGATGACTATCAAGTTGCCTTGCAGTCCCTTGATGACTATAGAGGTACCTAAACCAACGGCGTCATTGCAATATGTTCACAAGTATCTCGTAGATTTTCTTTGGCTTGACACAGAGTTGCCTCTGCCTAAAATGACAGTACATCTGTCACCATTACTACATGAGGATCGTCACACAATGGTAGTTTTAAATTTATTTTCGATTGTTGGTCCTTTGGGTCTTCCGTATCTATAACTGGTGCAGCAAAAGGATTCTACAAAAGAACAAAAGTTTTGAAGCATATTATCATAAAATAACGGGGAACAATATAAAATGAGCTATTTATCGTAAATGACACAATATCAAGAACATGATTTGTTGTTCGACTTGTTCAGGGTCTTCCGGTAGTGTCTCGTCCCCCGTTATAATAATGTCTTATGCATAATTTATTTGATCTTGACCCTCTTGGGCTTCAGTATCTACAGCAAGACAAACCTTAAAAAAAACAAATATTTTTAAAAGTATCAAGTATACTAGAAAGAATGAGATATTGAAGGGAAGAGAATGAGATATTTACCGTATGTGACAAAGACCCAAAAAGGTCCTGAGTAACAACTTCAGCGAGCTCTTTTTCTGATGTCTCATCCTGAGTAACAACAACATCTCATTCATCGCTTATTGTCTCTTGGGCTCTGAGCTCTTCTGTATGTTCGATATGTATAGGTAAATTCTCACTAATTCTGCTCCTCTTCCTTTTCCAATCGGTGGACTTACTCTTTCGGCGACTTACTTGCTCTTTATCAATTTTGGTTTCTTATAATCTTTTAACCATAACTGTTAGGGTGGACAATGACTCTTCAACATTAGTCATTTGTTTATTCATAGTAAACATAGACTCCTATAAACTTAAACTTATTTATTGTTGAGCTTAAAGTAGCTCGATTACTCGTACAAAATCATCTCTTCCTGTTCTATATGTTTCTTCTGGGGTTACCTGCCTTGAAACAATTGGACCAACACCATGGGATTTGGGTGATGGCGGTCTGACAGGAGATTCACGACGAGCAGTAAGAGGATGAGTCATGACAGGGTTGGGTGGTCCATGGTCAGGATTGGACAACAACTGAAGCTTATACACCTTCAGGTCAATGAAGGTGTCATTAACCTACATTGAAAATCACAATGTTATGCTTAAATTTAGTGAAGCAGCATGGAAACATAACTTACCCGAAGAAAATCTAATAACAAAAAAAATTACTTACATGTACATGCTCGAGCACCCTAAAGGCTTCTTGAATCTGTGGTGTTGTCCACCCATGAATTGTTGGCCACCTCCACCTCAGCATGTGTGGTCTAGCCTTAGGTGCAGTAGGAGTAAACAGTGTTGTGTGCTCGAAAAACCAAAGCTGCGGATAGCTGCGGATAATACATATCAAAAACCCATTTGTCATAAGGCAAGAAAAACAAAAACAATTAGTGAAAAGGAAAAATTTTAAATGTGTATAATATGAACTTCCAGATAAAATAAATACAAATCCGCTTAATGTAACCAAGTGGCTGATTCCACCTTATTTTGATTGCAACCAAATTCATTTGATCAATCATATAATCACAAATGGCAGCAGACCAATTAAACGAAGAGAAGGACTATATGTTCTCCCCAAATGCATAAAGCTTTGCAGGCACACCTAAATTGCTCGAGAGAAAGAATAAATTTGCTAGTAAAAACTTTAAAAATAGTTTCTCAAAAAGAGTGGAAGACACTCTTGAAAACTTAGTCACGTCTTCCTTTATTGCTCTCGCAACTACACAAGATGAGGGAGTTTTCCGCCGATTAACTGATTCTTCTCTATTGGGCATGCCTAACAATAGCGCAACATGGTCAGTGTGGAGTTTCACCATCTTTCCACCCATCACAAAAACCCTCCTTTCATTATTCCAAAATCCAATGATATGTAGAGTCAACACATTATCTTAGAGATAAAGAGACATGTCAAAAAATTGACTGACATTTATTTCTCTTAAAAAATTCATGGTCTCCTCAAAGACCCCTCACTGCAGAAGCACATCTACAATTGAACGTTCTTGCGTTCATATACCTATATAAGCAAACATATAGAAAGAAATATTATTTTTCATTCAAACAATTTCAATTTACTCAAGTGTTATTATTACATGTGTTATTGTGTGTTACATATGTGTTAGTCTTGTGTTATATGAGTGTTATAGTTCAGTTATTGTTGTGTTACAGATGACTTATTGTGTGTTATTGTTGTGTTATAGTTGTGTAATTGTTGTCTTATTCCGTGTTATGATTGTGTTATGATTGTGTTATCGTGTGTTATGATTGTGTTATGATTGCGTTATTATTTTGTTATTGTTGTGTTATTATTGTGTTAACATGTGTTATGATTGTGTTACGATGGTGTTATGGTTGTGTCATGTTATAACTGTATTATGATTGTGTTATTAGTGTGGTGTGGTAGTGTTATAGTTGTATTATTCCATTTTATACAAGTGAGATTGGTACTATTGCGGTGTTAGAAGGGTTATAACACAAGTAATACCGCGATAACACAATAATAACATGCAATAACACAATAATACAATAATAACAAAAGTACAGAACAATACCACAACCATAATACTTCAATAACACAGTTATAACACACAATAATACATTTATAACACATCTATAACATTATCATAACAACATAACACAATAATAACACACAATAACACATCTATAACACATCTATAACATATAATAACACACAATAATGCAGTTATAACACATCTATAACACAATTATAGCATAAGACAACAATTGCACACAATAGCACATCTATAACACATCCATAACATACAATAACACATAATAATGCAGTTATAACATGTTTATAGCACAATTAAACATCCTAAGACAACAATAACACATCTATAACATGACTATAATATGACCATAACTATACCACATCACACAATAATATAACACACAATAACACATCTATAATATGACTATAACACAAGTAAAACAAAACTATAATGCAACCCTATTGCCATGAAAAAAATCAAATTTTTATCTAAAATAAACATTGTAGCACATTACCTCAATGACTTCGAGAGTCCGTTAGCCTCTTCAATAACGTTGCGACATTCCATTTTGTTTGCTAAAAAGAGAAGGAAAACAAATGAGTTGTTGTTGCCGAACAATTAAAACCTAAGACTTATAAGCATGCGTATTGCCGAACCGACCTTTCATTTCCAACATTTGAAATTGAAGAGCCGAACCACCATTCGAATGGAGAACGCCAGAAGAAGCCGACAAAGCCTAAGAGAGATGAGCGCTGAATACGAACCGACGAAGAAGATGAAGAAACAGTCCAAAAACGCATAAGAACAAAAAGGTAGTGACCAAATCTACCATAAAGTGACTTTTTGTCTGTTTTGGTGTTTCGACGGGCTATCTCGAGCCAGCTTCCACGAAAAAACACATCTTTTAAATTGGCTCGGCAAGGACTCAGGCTGGGTCACGTTAATTAAGTGTTTTTTAATTTTTATGCACAGTGCGACCCAAGAGTTCCACTTGGACTCCTCTCATTGGACTCTACATGTAACCCAACCTACGGAGTCTTGAGGCAATAAATTCCCCAAAGGCTGGTGCTATAGCGCCATATGATGTTATGTCATTTTGCTCCAGTTTGCCCTTATTTTCTCTAAAGAATCATTCCTTGTACTTGAAACCAAAAACATGCACAAAAACTTCCTTTAATGTGCAATATCATAAAAAAGTGCATAAAATTAACATTAAATATTTATTAAAAATATGTAAATTTAAGGTGTATCAAATCTCCCAAACTTAAATGTTACTTATCCTCAAGTAACTCCTTATACTATGTAAAAATTCATAACTTATGGTATAACTTATGGTAATGAGTAAAATTCATAACTTATGGTAATGAGTTTTACTCAAAGATTTTTATAGTATATGTGATATAAATGCAATATTGAAACTTTAGAAAAATTTTAAATAACTCAGGTTAAAACTAAAATGTAAGAATATGTAATAGTCAAGTCTAAAAATTTTGATTTTCTATTCATTTCAAGAATAATTGTAGTTCTTCATATTAATAATGCTTAGAATAATTACAAGAAAATGAATTTCATGAGAATCATTCTGAGGATGCCTAGAAGAATTTCAAGAAAAAGAATTTCTTGAGACCTCTATTAGTAAAGATGCTAATACTCTTAAAAATAAATTCAGGGTTGTAATTAAGTCCCTTTACTCAAGATGATTCAAGTGAAGCCAATTTTTTATTAGGCTTCTCCTTAAACTTCTCCTCACATATTTTTTTTCTTTTTTCTTTTCTTTTTCTTTTGATTTTGTTTTTCTTTTTCTTCTAGGATCATTTTTAATTGATTTTTTTTCTTTTTTCTTTTTATTTAAGGATTACTATATCTGGATAGACTTTAATGATTTTGAACTTAACCATCCTCTTCTTAAAGTTAAAAACTTCTCACATTTCTTTACTTGATACATGTGTACTAGCTTTGAAAAATATTTTTCATAGTCTCAATTCTTTCTTTTTTAAGTGTATATCTAAGATGCTTAATATTTTAAAATTACAATTTCCTTTGCTTTGAATAGTAAAAGCATAATCTTATACTCTTACACTAAATATCTTAACCCTAGAACTAACCTTTATTATTTAAAACTTTTACTTAAGTCTATTATGACATTTATAAAATAAAAAAATATAATTATCTAAAGCTAACCCCACATATCACAGGTCATGCTAAAATAATTTTAAAAATATAGTTTATTGTGGACAAATAAGGTTTCATTTTAATAGTTTTTCTCCTTTTCCATAAACTTAATTTTTTTATTAATTTAAAAACAGTACAACTCATAATAAATATGCAGAAAGATAAAATCTCCTTTAATCCTCACACTTGATTCTTTAAAGATAAAATCTCCTTTTTGTATGAATAAATGCTCTAATACATTGTCAAGAGTAGAAGTACTAGAGGTGGAAGATCTCAAGGTTAAAGTAGATAGAATCTCTGAACCTCCAGCCCTGGATCCTAAACCAATATGCTTTCCATACATTTCCAAATTAGCATTTCCAATAGGCTTTAAAGATGGCAAGTTCTCCTCCCATGGCTCATATTTAACTCCAGATTATATACATATGGTGGAAATAAGGGAAGGGTAACTCATACCTCCAGTTGTTCCTCCTTTAGAGGAAATGATCATATTCTTGTAAATGAGAGAGCAAATAGCTATAGGTTTTCTTATTTGGATAATTTGTTCCAAGTGACACTCTCCGGGTTACCTCACTAAAATAGTTAGTTGGAAGAAGTTTAGCAAATATAAAATAATGACAGGCTCGAGAATGAACATTAAGCATTGAAAAAGAAAAGTTCTCTCGTCGTATGTTCTTGATCTTCTGAACTCTATGCCCATCAGTCAAGAACCCAATAATTTCATCAAGTTCGACATCAGTTGAATTAAACTCTGAATAGAAGTAGGAATGTTATACAATTGATAAATGCGATTTATTCAAATAGGATTAATATCGACATAACGTCCCCTACAAACACCAAATCGTCAGATTCGTGAGGTTGGTTTGCATAAAATTCTTAAATAAGATAAATAACAGCAATGACACTGAAATAATAGAAAGTTTCCCAATATCGTTCCACAATCAAGTACTCGATGCTCCTACATGAAGAAATTCGTTCTGCAATCAATTTCTTTGATTGCAGATCTCCATATGAAATTCGTTTTGCAATCAATTTCTTTGATTGCAGATCTCCATATCTATCATGTGCTTCAGAACTTGCAAATCTTTTATTATCAAAAATAGCTTTTTCTCTTCCTATTTTCATCTTTCGAGCCATGTATAATCTAATAAAATTTGAAATAAATTTTAACTTTAGTTTCAAAAGGCTCCAATAAACTCATTGCAAGCAAAATAAACTTTCAACCTGTCGGTCGCCAGATCGGGAATATATATACATATATATAGGGCTGATCTCATATAGACAACAATTTAAATAAACGAGCACAACACTAAAAGTGACATACTTATCCAGAGGAATAGACATATCTCTTATCCGTGATACTCGATTAAATAAACTAAATAATTTATGACAGTCGTTTTAGTCTGCGAACCTTTATGTTGATTGACAAGTTTCCTTATCTAATGTGAAAGATTAGATAGGGTTTATGTTAAGTTGAGTTCTAAAGTTTCATATAAGGGCAAGCCCCTATAGTTAATTACATCATAAATGACCTAAGTCACCTAAGAAAACTCTCGATTTAGATCCAAAAATATTGTTTTCAAGAATTTCAAAGTGCAGAACTTTTCAAAGATCGGACCAAGGAGTGTCAAATGAGAAT